AAAAAAAAAAAAAAAAAAGTAACATCTCAGCATGTACATGTGCCAAACTTCTCCTTTGGGAAGTAATTATCATTGTTGCAATCTTATTTTAAGGCTTGCAGCTATATGCATTTCTAGGAAAAGTATATTAAGGATCAAAGTCTTCTTATTTAAAGAGACACTAAATATAAGGAGGATTTTAGAACTTATAGAGAGTACRTATCTCTAAAACCATTTTTTTTCACAATTCAAAAACTTTATTTACTAAAAAGAAGAAATATAATTATTTGAATATATCATTTTCATTATGTGTCATTTAATTATTTAAGGTTTCACATTACAGAGAATATTAATAATGATTTTTCTCATCATATTAATAATGATTTTTGTGATCATCATTTTAAGATTAGCTCAAAATAAAAGCAGTCTTAAATATTATCAATTTTTTCCCTTTTTCTCTGAACAGAGTGTAAGGTCTTTAGAGAATCATACCTTGATCATCTTTTTAGTCTCTGGAGCTTAGCACAGTGTCTAGAACAAATTAGCTGTTCAGTAAATGTTTGTTAAATCTTACAATATTGATAGTTTCCTGTTGTACTCTCTATCTGCCCCCTCTGTTTTTGTTCGGTACTGGGATTAAACCCAGGGGCTCTTTACCACTGAGTTAAATCCCCAGTCTTTTTTTTTATAATTTTTTATTTAGAAACAAAGCCTTGCTAAGTTGGCCTCAAACTTGTGATCTTCCTGCCTCAGCCTCCTGAGTCTGGAATTACAGGGATGTGCACCGTGCCAAGCTTGCTCTCTCTTAAACTCTATATAGATCAGGATTTCTCAAGTTTGGCACTGCTGAGGCTAGGTCATTTATTGTGAGGTTGTGCACTGGAGGATGTTTAATAGTATCCCCACCATGTGATGCCCTGTGTATTAGAGGATGTTTAGCAGCACACCTTTGACCTATATCTCCAGCTGTGATGATCAAACTATACTGACATTGTCAACTGTCTCCTGGAAGTAGAAATCTACCAGCTTACTACATCCCAGTTAAAACAAGTGATCTGGTTAAAATCCATTCTCAGTCTCAAAATTGACTTCCTAAAACCTACTATCTCACAGGTTATCAACACCAGAGCCTTCCTTCTTAGTTTTCTATGTTTTCCCTTCAGTTATAAGAAGGATTTGTGATTCTTTCTGCAGTTGCATGATATATTCATTGTGAATGAATCATTTCTGGAACCCCAAATAAAAAAGAGCTGCCCCCCATCATCCTCAGTAACTTCTTTCCAGATCTCCACAAATTTGTTTAGGAGCAAGTGACCCAATGGAACTAGTAGAGAAGTCATGTTAACTGGTAGCTGATAAATATAAAATCAATAGAATTTGACAAATTACACTTTTACATTTTCTGACTAATTTTTGTAGCCTTAGAGGGACAGTCTATACCATTAGAATAGTTCTTGTTTATGAACTATTCAAAGAACTTTTTCAACTTCCTACATGTTCCTTCTCACCAAATTTTATAGAATTTGTCAAGCACTGCTGAATTATCATTATCATCAGAAATGGGGAAGGAGGACTGGAATGTGGCTCAGTGGTAGAGTGCTTGCCCTGCATGTACAAGGCCCCAGGTATGATCCTCATTATCACACACAGAATGTGGGGGGAATTACTTATTCTTCTTTTTGATCCTTTTATTATAAAATAGGATTCCCCATCTTTGAATTTGAAAAGCAGCTTCTGCCTATTTTTTTTATACTCTCTGCCATACTTCCCAAGGAAGGAGGAGTGACTTGTTGAAGGTTATATTTGGAATAGGAAATTGGGTGTGTACAGCTCAGTCTTGCATTTATTTTTCATTCTGTCTGCCATAGGATGATATGACATGTTCCAAAGGCCCCAACTTTTCTCTAGGATCTCTCAATCCATTCAAGGAAATGTGGAGAGGAAAATGGTGGCATTGTTAATTAGACGGTTGAAAGAGAAATCCAAAGAGGCAGTGGTTGCATGGACATCTAGAAAAAAAACAGCATATGAAAATATCAAGTGTTCAGGGGCAGCCTTACTTAGCTTCAACATATTCTGTCCACTGGGCCTTTGAGACTGGCTGTTCACAGTAGCCTTAGTCCATAGCTAGACCACTGGAGTAGGTTGCTGGGATCTCAGTGGATAATGCTCACCTCACCCACATTAGCACAATTTGACCCCACCATGATTACAGCACCAGGAAAACAGTCTTTTTGTCTCCTAATGCATAATTGCTGGGGAATTGGGTTGCATAGTGTGCTTTTGAGGCAGAACGGTGGACCCAGACTTAGAATTCAGAGGCAGTAAATTCTTCTGCTATAAAGCATTAGTGTGAGGATCTAGCTTTTAATTTTAAATTCTGCATGTAAGAACTTAGGTAGCAATACAGCATCTGTGACAGATGCTATTTCTTGTTATTTTGTCTGGAAACATATCAAGCTCCTAAGAGAGAACTGAGATGGCCTATTCTCTTGGCTGTATATGAAGACTAACTCCCATAACTATAGACCCTATAGATTCATGAATCATATGTACCATGTATATGGCTTTTGGTTTTGAGGATCCAAGCTGTAGCTCAGCTTAGAGGAATGGCTTTGATTAATGAGCAGTGAAAGTGGAATGGGCACCTATTACTTTGGAAATACAGCTTCCACTTGGACAGAAGTGGAAGGAAAATTGAATGAGATCATCATAGAGCCAAAGGCCAAAAATTTACTAAGGAAAGAGTGTACCTGGAAGTCTTTTCCAAATGAATCAGACTGGCAGATTAGTGCAAAGACTTGAGATTGAGAACAATTTCAGTATGTGTTAGATAAAAGGATCACAGTTCAGGAAATGTTTTTGACTCTGTTACCTGAAGAGGGCTAAATGGAGAAGTACTAAGGAATCCAGGAAGAGAGAAATCAACTTAAAAGGAAATACAAGGTCTTAAAGATCAAACCAGATTTATACAAAAGGGAAATGGATCTAAGTGCAAAGATAGAGCCATAAAAAAAATCTTGGAGCTGGAAACTTATAAACTTTTTAAAAGTTTGTGCATATGAAATTGGTACTATGATAATTGTGTATGTCCTAATGAACTCTTGGATTCCTTGGAAAAAAACAGAATATAGGGACTTAAGGATAAAATAATGCATCTTTGAAAATGCCAAGACCAAGTCATTTTACTGAAGAGGAAAGCAAAAACAATTAATTGAGTTTGAGTGGAACAAGAAATTAAATTAAAAGGAAAGAAACAAAAATCTTAATTTTTCTTGGAATTTTGCTCAAGAGAATTATGAATTTTAACATTCTGGACTTTGATTTATAAGGAAGTTCAGGGAGGTTTAATATTATCTATTTAATTTTTGCCCAGACATTTGGCAAGGGAAAGAGATCCACCGAATTGTGTTCACACTTAGCCTTCGGTGAATTCAACTGGGGCCTAATTTGGTATGGAAATTACAATGAGCAGTGATTTTTTTATTATTATTATTTTAAATTTTTTTTGGATTGAGATGCAACAAAGCTTCCAGGAACAAAAGCTAGACTACATGCTCATGGTCCCAGGAAACTAATGGAACAGTGATATATTGGAGTTCATGTTTGGAAGAAAGACTCATGTTTCTGGATAATAAGAACTTGATTGTTAATACTAAAGGATTAAGAGATCAAAAATCTGTACATAATGGGAAAAAAAACTTTTTCTTCTAGCATTCTATTTCTCTCACAATGCAGGACTTCATTTGTTAGTACTAGGAAGAGTAATTTCATCCTTCTCTCTTTCTACTTCCTCACTCACTTCTCCCCAAGAGAGAAATGACTCTCAGATTGCTGAAAGGAGAAAGGAACAAAGAAGTACACCCAGTTTAGCCAGTTCCAGGACAAATTACAAACTGGTTGTTTCTGCTCTGCTGCTCTGTCCAGAGGTAGGAATGCTGGTGTCCAGCCTACTTTCTTTTTTGAGGGGGAGGGGAGGTACTGGAGATTGAACTCAGGGCACTCAACCACTAAGCCACATCCCCAGTCCTGGTTTCTTTTTTTTTTTTTTTGTATTCTATTTAGAGACAGGGTCTGACTGAATTGCTTAGCACATTGCTTTTTACTGAGGCTGACTTTKAACTTTCAATCCACCTGCCTCAGCCTCCAGAACCTCTGGGATTGTAGGCATGGACCACTGTGCCTGGCAGGCCTACTCTCTGAAGGTAGATTAGAAAGAAACTCTTCTCTTTGTGTACTATCCATAGAACACAGTGGATAGGAGACAGTGATTCTGCACATGTCTGCTATGGAGACCTACCTCTTCCTTGCATGTACATCCAAAGCTCTTGGGAGAAAAAAATTAAGATGCTCAATTGAAACCATTTATTGAAGCTGAGTTATCCAATTCAAGTTACTATTATTATAAAATCAATGTATGTTTTTGACCTCTACTTGTCTTTTCCTCCCCAAATCCCTATTTAGAATCAGTTAAATGGTATGAGCAATTATCATTTTCAAATCCTAGCAAATACTAATGGCTGATGTTTTTTGAGTACCCAGTACTGTGTCAGATGCTGTGCTAAGAGCTTTACAGTATTGCTCTGTATAATCCTTACATCATCTCTATGAGGTGTGCACTGTGGTTTCTCCCACCTCACAGATAAAGGCTTAGGGCTGGGGATATAGCTCAATTGGTAGAGTGCTTGCCTCAAATGCACAAGGCCCTGGGTTCAATTCCCAGCACCACAAAAAAAGAAAAAGAAAAAAAGACTCTGAAGCTTAAAGAGCACAATTGGCCAAGGTAAGGTCATATACAGCTAGTAAAGGTGCATCTCAATCATGGAATTGTATCCAACTTGTTGGCTGTACTCCATCACATAATCATCTCTTAACAACTTTAGGAAAAATTGAGAATAGAGCTTCAGTTTGCTCTTGTTGAATAAATTAGAAAATTATGAAGCATCAATCTGTTTTGAATACTAACTAAAGAATATGTTGTCTCTCAGATCTGTCAAACTGAGCTGCTCTGAAGACTGATAAAAGTCAAAAGTTAACTTTATAATAAGTTGCTTTAAACATTCTATTTTGTGGGGTTTTTTTCATTCATCATGCTAGTTGCATAGCTATTAATTTTTCACATGAATTTTCAGGAATCAGTGTGACTAGATTTGTAAACTGCGACCCTAATTTGGCATCAAACTTATATTACAATGTGAAAGTATTTTTAAAATATTATCTCATGGGTAATTAGTAATGACAGTCCATAGTTCCGAACACAATCTTACACTAAAATGATTAAATATAGCCCTACAGAATTTATTTAATCTTAAAAAATTGTTCTAAGAATTTCATTGGGAATTTGCCTCAATCATTGAATTTTAGCTAATCACATAAGACCTTTTTAATTATGACAGTCTTTAAGATACCCAAAAACAATCTGGCTTTATAACCATAAATATTAATAATAAAATCAATTTAGTTTTAGATTACCAATTTGATGATAATCCTGACAACTCAATGTTAAAACTGACAAATATTTCAAATTTTTATACACATAATTTCTTAGAGAAGTAAAACAATAATATACTACAAGAGCATGTAACTATTATTCTCACATGGAAAATATACTTCAGGCTTTAAGCATATTTAAGTAAATGCTTCTGAAATTCTTATCATTGAAGCTCACTAACTACAACCTTGAATTAATTATACTTAACTCGATATTAGTATACCATAAATTTTCCCCTTGAAAGAAAATGTTCAAGTATGTAAATAGAAAAATGGGAAGATATGTCTCTGAGGTTTCCTTCTAGGGGACTTGGTATCATATTTTTACCTCTGAGATGGGTTTCTCATAGACATCTTCTCCTATGGACTTCTCCTGAGCAAGGATGGCATCTCGGTGCAGGATCCGAAGCACTTTCTCTGGTTCTGCAGATCCGTAGTGAGCCTCCAGAACCTCAGGCTTGGTTTTCTCAGTCTTCAACATATGGATCACATCTTCTCTGGCCTGTGGTAGAAAGTACAGTAAGGTCAGATGGTTGACAATGTAAATCATATAACAGGCTCACAAAATCAACATGGAGCTTATTGAATACATACCCACCTCTTCAGGGTTATTGGAAAATTAAATGGGTATTCTATTCTTTTTTTTTTTTCCCCACCAAGAGCAGATTGGCAAGCAGATACTCTGCTTCAGGTTGCTAGGAAGCAGGCAAGCAGAAAGAGGGTTTGTGCTAATATTAACTACATTAAAATTGCTTGATTTAAGTAGCAATGATTTGAGAGAAGGGGCAGGGTTGGGCTGGTTTTGGTATAGATGACTTGTTTCAGTGCAAATGAGGTCAAAGACAAGCTAAAATCTTCTAGGTTTCTATTTATGCTCTAAGTGCAGTATTCAAATCCGGTTTAAAGTAAAACCCTGCTCTCTTCATCCCATAACTCCATGTTAATTATAGCTAGCTATAACTTCATGTGAAATTAACAAACAGCCTTTATTAGTGATTTCTTTCTGTTCCTCATCAAGTAATTCCTTTTGCACAGAAGTACATGGTTGAGTATTCACTCCATGCTGGGCTGGGCTTTTTCTATCTAATGCATTCATGCTGAAAGTGAGATATTATTCTTTGAACATCCAGACTACCCACAGATGAATTGGGTTTGGTAGGGTCGTGGTTATTCTTTTGGTTTCTTAGCACAACTTTAAATGAAGCTTTCAAGAAAACCATGTAATTGTAGGTTTTATATGATATTATCTTTGGTCCCCATCCCATAATGCAAATGCGTCTGGATATATTTTGTACTGGTTAGCTGTGATGATATTGCTAGTCATGATGTAGCTGACATTTGCTGAATGTACTTCCATCTGGGCCTTGGCTCACTCGGAACTGTTTTTCCAGTAATGGTGATGGGTAAGTATCTGACTTCATTCCAACTTGTACTAAAGACCAAACTGAGAGTTTCAGTCTGTGACAATGGAATAGAGTTTTCCCTGTATTAATGCTAACTATGGATTTGAGTCTTTAAAAATGGATCATTATTATGGTTGTCTAAACAAGAGAGCTGACTAGTCAAGTATTTATGATAGGACCAACATAAAGTTGGTCTTTCTTGAAGTTCCTCACTTCTACTGCATTGTCTGTCTCCAAATTAATCTAATTCCAGATGAATTAGAGACATCACTGAGACATCAGTCAACCAGAATATGCAAGTTTTCAGTGTCTCGACCACATATATGTATGCTCATTTCAAGACTAAAAAAAGGAAAATATTACTTTTGAAGAACTTAGTGATTGGAAACATTAATGAGAATATTAAGATCAGAAAACAGGTTCCTGAAAAAACAATATGTCTCCATGCAGGGTGAAAGGATATTCATACAGTCACAATGTCAGGCTAACCTGTACAGTGTCTTTATGCAAATTGCTTTAGAAAAATGGTGCCTGCTTCAATGAAGGTATGGTTCTGAATCAGAGTGCAGCTTATGCAGCTCACCTAGTGAGAGAAGAGTAGGCTGAATTCCAGCTACTCATCTCCTCTGCCAGGTACCCTCATGCAAGGCATAATTCTCTATCTGCATGAGGTGGTCCTATTCTGAAGGAGCCTCCAGGTGCATAACTTGTTACTAGTCTTTAGGAGGGAAATGCTCCTACATTCATCTCACTGGTGAACACATATAGCATCTTCTAAAGTAATGGTTCTCAAAGCTGACCGCATGGGAATCACCTGGAACTTTAAAAAATCCCACAGCCCATGCCATCCCAGACCAATTACATCCCAATCTCTGGGAGAAGGGCTTGTGCATCAGTATATGTTAAAGCTCCCGGATGATTGCAGAGTACTGTGCTCACACTACTTTGGTTTGGATTTGGTTTGAGTGTGTCCCCTAGGGGTTTGTGGGCCAGAAGCTTGTTCCCCAATGTGGTGATATGAGAGATACTGGAACTTTTAGGTGGTGGGGCTTAGTGGAAGGTGAACATTAGGTCATTGGGAACACTCTCGGGTTAATATAATTCTCACAGGACCCTGAATATTCCTTGAGAGCAAGTTGTGCAAAAGAACAAGCCTGGACAGTGAATTCCTCTAGCTTTCTCTCTTAAGATGTGACTACTCTCTCCCTCTTACACATGCTTCTGCCATAATGCCATCTGCCATGCTGTGATGCACAACACAATAGGCCAAGTTATGGTGTTACACAATTGTGGATTTTCAGTCTCCAAAACTGTGAACTGTATAAGCCTCTTTTCTTTATAAAGGACTGAGCCTCCAGTATTTTGTTAGCAACAGAAAATAAATGAATATACACACTAATCAATTAAGAGACAGAGCAACCAAACTGATTAATAATCCCTGGTACTATTCAATCTAAACTTTGCTAAGTTGGTGTGTGTGCTTTTTCTTTTTCTGTTTTTGGAAAGATATTATCACCTTACTTCTTTCAATCACCTCACACCTGAGGTCAGCCTTAAACTTTAGCCAGAGCGGAAAACTTCATCTGAAAAAAGAAACTGTGAATTTAGTGACTAATGCAATGAGAAGGAAGAAAAATTTAGAATCATATTTCAAAGTGACAAAATGGTGATGATAAGGTTGGCAAGGTGGAAGTCTCCATAACAAACTATTTTTTTTCCTATCTTTAAATCAAATGAAGTAAAGGCTGTCTTCTAAAGTTCACATTTTAACATGTGAAGTGTAAAGACTTACAGAGAAGACATTGAATTTACTGTTTTTTTTTTTTTTGGCAGGGGGAGTTAAAAATTTTAAAAATAATCTCAGCAATTTGGGAAGCTGAGGCAGGAGTATCATAAATTCAAAGCCAAACTCAGCAACAAGACTCTGACTCAAAATTTAAAAATAAAAAATAAATAAATAAAATTAAAATTGTTTAAACAGTAAAGGAGAATGTATTGTCATTTGTACACTAATTTGAGATATTGATTCAAAATAAAATTCAAATATTTCAAATGGTTTGCTTCCTGCTCTCTAAAATGTAGTAGACATGTAAGAAAAGGAAGAGCAAAATTCAAATTCTTCAGAAAAGAAATCATGATTGAAGGCATAGACTAAGTCATATAGTACTTGAATAATTAAACAAACTTTTGAAAGACTGAAAGAAAATGGATTAGAAGACAGACACTAAATATAGTGGGATAAAGGCTGCTTTTAGTCCCTTATCTTTTGCTTATATGTTTGTTCTCAACTTTCCACAATGAATATGTAATTAATTTTATAAAAAGAAACAAAGTTGCACTTTTATAAAGAAAGTCCTCATTATTTCTATTTCACACAATGGGGCAAGGGCAAATAAYGTAGTAGAAAGTTCCTTTCACACTTGCCCAATGCTGAGAAAGCCACCTTCATTCTGGCTATATATAAGCCTACACACAGTGTCCCTGGGATTTAACACAAGGAAAACACAAACCAAATTTCAGAAAGATTGTACTATACCATCGTTTTGGCATTGCTTTGATTCCTTTTAGGATTATTTAAACACAGCAGTAAATCCAAGATAGAACAGCCACTAAAGTGGGTGGGGATGCTAACAACGAGGTGGTGTGAGGACTATAGTTGTCCCACTAACATTTATTCTGATTTAYTCACATTCCAACTAGATCACTGAAGGAATCATTGAAGAGCTATTTACATATTGCCTTTCCACAAATGACATCCTGAAAAAGTGTTTGTCCCTAATTATGGATAAATGTCAGAAAGTGGCTTTCAAAATGCAAACTGTATTTAATAACCTTAAGAGCTTAGATTAAACCACTGAGTTAACACAAGTTTTCACAGCCTGAGCATAAAGAAAATTAATCAAATCATTTTTTCTGTATTTTTATTTTTATTTATTTATTTAGGTACTGGGGATTGAACCCAGGACTCTTTACCTCTAAGCTTTTTATTTTGAGACAGGATCTTGCTAACCTGCTGAGGATGGCCTTGAACTTGCATCCTCCTTCCTTAGCTTCCTGAGTTGCTAGAATTACAGGTGTGAGCCACCATATCCAGCAAGTTAATTAAATGTTAAGACTATTAAGCAACTAAACACAAACAAAAACAGAAATAAAATTCACATGATGGTATAGTAGAAGTTTCCAGTCCTAACATTGCTTTGACCTAATCTATGAAAAAGRATCATAATAACTTTTTTACAAGATTGTTTTAGAATGGCATCAGATATAAATATATTAAATGCATAATAAGCACATGGCACACAGTATGTGCTAAGTCAATGGTAATGATTTATTATAGTTCTGTTAGGTCCCTATCATTAGATAACTTTTTGCACATGAGGAGAAAAGGAATTTTGTAAGATATATTTTTTCCCTAGTCAAATGTAACATTTTAAACTGGTAGAGTTTAACCATCTATACATTCCACAATTTGCTTTGAAGAACAGTTTTTCAAAAAGGAATTTTTTAATTCAAGCAACCTCTTCCCAAAAGTTATTTCATCTTCCTGACTCAGTTTGTTTGTCTCTAAAGTAGGGACACTAATCCTTCTATGTCATAGTTACTTTGTCAGGTTCTAACAAGAGGATGCAAATAAAGTGCATTTGAATCAGTAAATAGGTAGTGATTTCAGCTTAATAGTTTACTATTCAATTTAAAATGCATAAATATTATTGTTAGTTATCATCTTGACCAAATCTTTCTGATTCTCTTAGAAGATAACTTCTATTCTTCCTACCGGATGTGAAACGCCTATTATTTCTCTTCCTAAAAATCCATTTATGTTTGAACCTTATTAATTGCTATAAGCCATATATATTTATATTTCACATTTCATCTTACTTTCATTATCCTAGAATCTAATTACCAAAGCAAAAGAGGCTAAGGTGATGTAATACTATGTATCATATATTTAAAACCACACTATTCACCTCTTATTTAGAGCTTTTTTTTTCTTTTTAAAATTTATTTTATAGTTGTAGTTGGACACAATACCTTTATTTCATTTATTTATTTTTATGTGGTGCTGAGAATTAAACCCAGGGCCCCACACATGCTAGAC